AAAAAAAAAGAATAACTTATATTTTATATATATATATTAGGATATATGAGGTTATATATTTATGTATATAAATTAATCATATTTATTAAATATTCATTTCTTTTATTTTTATTTAGTTTTCACATTTTTTTATATAAATATTTAAAATTTTTGTATTTAAATTTTGTGTATATATATCATAATAAAGAATGTTCTTTTACTTCTAATATATTACATTTATACTGTATTAATTACATTTTTATATTTACTAACAGTGGATAATATAGACATTAATAATTTGTGAAGTATTTACGACATATTAATAAGTATTGTGTACTTTAAAAACTATAATATAGTGTAATTATATTTAAAAATTGTTTACGATTATATTGAAAGCACTTAAATTACTCAATGTAATATAACCATTTTAAGCTTCCAAAATGTAACATATTGTATTTATTTGATCATTTTTAATTTTAGACAATATAACATTAAATAATAACATGTATCATGAATAAAACATCAATATAGATTCATTCAATATAATAAATGATATAATAGTGCAATGTATGTAAGAGAATCTGTAAGAATACATATGTAACAAATGAATAAAGTATGAATTATATAACATAAATTTTTAGAGCTTAATAAATATATTTGAGTCAAAAAATAATAATTTCTGTGTTTAATATCGAGAACAAGCGCGCTTTCATCGGTGCATTTCGGGGATGCTCGGCTTTGACCGAATCGAACCATTCGTGATTGGTTGCGGGTTCCGAGTCAGCGAAACGTGAATCAGTCGGCGTTGACGGCAAGGAGTAGCAAGTTTGATTCCAAGCAGTGTAGAAACGAAAAGTTTATCGGTGCTTGTCCTCAGTGATCAAAGCGGGCTAATTGTTACGTGCAATGGCCGCGTGCTATAGCGAGCAGGCATCGTCCAGCTCAGGAAATATAACAGAAAGGTCATCTGAGAGTGTTGAAAAACTAGTCTGCTGGCAACATAAACTGTTTGGTGAAGAACTGTTGCGGTGCAGTCAGGTTAATCAGCAGGACACAAAAGCGTGCGGTGCAAGTGGTGCACTCGTTGATGAAGATGACCGACCAACTTGTGAAGTGATCGGTGTGTACTTTAGTTTCATTAACCCTAGTGCTACCTGCGATGACTTTACGCGTCAGCTGGTCGATTTGTACACGAATGTCAACTCGTCGTCATCATCATGCACGGAGAACGACCGGGATGCAGAGAATTCCAGCAGAGGAAGAGAAAGGAGGAAAAAGTTCGAGGTCGTACACGTGGTTCTTCAAAGTAACGAAGGCCATGTCATCTGCTGTGAAGAAAGTTTCCGTGCACACGTTGCCGACTTACCCTGGTTGACTGTGTCGAACTTAGACTACGGAAGAAATGTAAGATACATATTTTTTGTTCCTTTACGTTTCATCTACAATAATTCTACTCACCAAGTAGTTTTGACACAATGTTCATAGTATATTTCATTAAACTGTTCCTTGTCTTTATTCAAATATTGCTATACATAGGTATTAGTCATTAATACATATTGATATCCAGTTCAACGCATGAAGTAAATCAAACTGTAAGCATATCATTGGTACTACATATATTTGTTTTTATTATTAAGTTCTTTAAAATTCAATTAATAATTTCATTCATTAATCATTAAAAAAAAAACTTCCTTTACGGAGATTTTAAGACATGAAAATATTCGTGCATCTTGTTTTTATATTTTATATATTCTGCATTGTTTTCCATACAATGTATATTTATTTTAGCAAGAGTTTTGACTGGAAATGAACATCCATCGAGATTATAATGAGCGAGAAGCAATTCCAAAAATAATTTATTCAAATTGATTTGTCTAGGTGTTTTTTGGTTTCAGACAGATATTACCAGTTCTTTATTATTTTGATCCCCCAGTCGAACATAAATTCAATTAAATTTAATTAAATAATTAGACTCCCCATTTAAGTCGAATAATGGTTGCGTTCAACGGAACAGCCATTCATATAATCAGTAGATTCTAGACAATTAAAAAATATGTTCTTATTAATTTCAAACTGTACGAAATAATTTCAATGATTTTCCCATGTTTTCAAAGTTCGTTTTTCTTTTTTGTGTATGAGCGTTTCACAGTTTTTCGCCGGCTATGTGACTTTTACGGTCAGACGGGCTATGATCGATTGAAATTTGTATACACATGTCTGTCATAAAGTTACACATGTACACATAGAGGAGGCACACATGCCGTTATGCAGAAGGACCGTGCGCGCAGCGCCTTTTTTATTTCCAACGGGTGTTTTAACCCCTCGCCAGACGTGCTATTTAGGGTCCGATTTTATTTGCACCAACATACGAAGCAGAGTCGACTTTCTCTAACTAAAAATCGTTGGTAATATTTTCCACAAAACATCTGCTGCTTTACAGCTCGCTACGGACGTGCTTTTAGTCCGGATCAAATGTTCCTTTTTTAATCAACATTCGCGGGATTTGTTTCGTTGAGAATTACTTGAATATTTTATTATCTGCCTTTCTTTATTATACAGGCCTGTGAAGATATTTTACACGTAGAATTTGTTAACATTAACTTATGTTATTCGATAAGCAAAGGGAACGTAGGTCTATGAAAATAGTTATGTAGATGGCTTAAAGAATAATCCTAGGGATTCAAGCAGAAGTGTTGTCAATTAAATCGGCGATTCCCCGACAGAGGGTGCTGTAAGAAATACAAATTTTAAATCGAATAACTTTCTTTCAGAGAATTCGTGCTATCGTTTTAATTGAAGCCGAGTAAATGAACAAATTTAAATTGAAACGAGAATGTTATTTGTAACGATTAAAAGCAGACGGGAGGTCTTCTTCGTACATTGATCTTTTCATCACCCACGCACCTCGATGACGCACGTATCTCTTGTCTCGAAAGTTTGAGTGACTCTACGTTACATTACAGCACTTCGCACACGCATAGCTTATATTTGGTTTCCCCCCTACATTTTATGCAAGTTAACGAGCTTCTAGTATATTGCACCGGAGGAACGAATGAAAAAGGAAACAGAAAAGGAAGAGAAAAGAGGGATAAAAATGAAAGCAATGCGAGATACGAGACAGCAGTTTATATATAATGGTGGCGTGTAATAGAGATGGTTTAAAATTTCTATGTAAGATGACTTCTTGGTACTTATTTGGTACATGTACATTAACAGCATGTGAATGTAAGATGATGGGAAGTCGTTATTCTCTGTCTTTTTTCCGCAATCATTAGTCAAGCTATTTGAATTGTTCGTATTTGTGATACATATATACATATATATATAAATATGTATATATACACGCGTCTGATTTGTGAGTAAATGTAACGATAAGCAGCGTCCTGCGCAATTAGCGTCAAGTAGCCTCGTGCTTTTTCCTTGCTCATTATTCCGCCTATCTACCTGATCCACGTTGGAAATCACCCCCCTTGAAATCGTTGGTTCTTTGTATACTGTTCCATTCATTTAACAATGAGAAGAGCAACTTCGGTTCTTGGAACGTTGCGAGAAAGAAACGATCAAATTCTCTTTCTTTTTCCCTCACTTTCCATCTCCCTTTCTCGCTCAATGTTTTCTTAACTGGCATTGGAGGTAAATAAAGAAATCTGAAACCCGAGCTTCTTCCAATGGATGCTAAGAGTCCTTAAAACAGCTGCATCTTTCAGGCAAGTTTTCAATTCGATTCTTCTCCATTGAATGTTAAAATGTTAAAAATAATATTTCTCGAGGTCATTAAGTAAATTTAACGAATTAAAAAGATTCGAGTAATTGGCAGAGATTGTGATTAATAATACTAGCTATCGCGCCGTTACCATGCATCGTTAATGCAGTTTGTATTGACCTCTAGTGGCAGTTGAGGCTATCTTTTCACAGGAATCCTTAAGAAGAGAGTGGGGAGCTGTCCAGTTTGCTTGACAAAACTGAACGGTTAGTGGTATTAAGCAAGTGGCGCGGCGCTAGTGTCCGGTTACTTGAACGGGTAGGTAATAGAAGTGCGCTGCTCATCGTTTGTTCGACGTAAACCGTTTCATAAAGGTACACGCCTTTGCCTTCGACGGGGAAGCGCTCGAGAAAAAAAGTCAAACCGAGCAGCCTTTGCATTCGGGGTGGCCGACCCATATCTTCCGCAAATAGCTTTCTCATTCGGCCGGCGAGATCAAGAAAGCGACGAAAGGTAGGAAACGAAAAGAGAGGAAAGATATGTTTACGTTTAAGTATACATCGGAAGGAAGGAGAGAGTGAATTGGTGGCGATGCAGGTCCCTTCCCACGAAAGCGACTGAAATGGAAAGAAGCAAAAAGGAAGAGAGAAACGTTGGAATCTAGATAGACTTTGAGGTAGTTCGTACACAGAGTGGCCAGTACGCGGCGCTATGTAACCCCTCCCCCTTCCAATGCCTTCTTTCCCGCCCACCCATATCCACCTCACTTTTCTCTCCTGTTTCTGCCTGCTTTTTAGCTGGTATATCGTGTAGATTACACACGACCTACTCAGTAGTGGTCAAAGAAAAAGTGAAGTACGTGCGAATCGCCCGAATAAATGTATTGCAGTACCTATGACTCGAAAACTCGCGTGAAACCTCTCCGGATGCTTTGACGCGGCGCAGCCGACAGTATCATACGAATAAAAGCGGTAAAGAGTTGCGCGAAAAAAAATTAGATGTTTGCCGCGAACGCATGGATGCTCTCCCCGTGTCTCTTATCGTATGTAATTCGTCTTGCTAGAATATATTATCTTAATTTCTGCGATTTATTTCATTTAAGTGATATTGAATTTTGTTTTTTAACATATGCTTTCACTATGCATACCGTTATGTTATGCACATTTATTTTTTTATTTCACCGAATATTTTGATGAAAATAAAAACGTTTTAAACGTATTTTTATTGTTATACATAACCCTTACAAAATCGCCCCTTAGTAGGATGCGAGCAGTTCTTTCATGTTCTGCAACATTTTCAAGACATATACAACGTGGTGGTTTGTGTGTAATTGAAAACGCGGTAGTCTTAAGACGCTGCTGGGGTTGACCAATGGAAACACAGTGGTTTCGTCAGTCTTGGTCGGACGAAAGACGCCGGGAAAGACCACGATATCTATATATATCAGGGGTGCACAACTTTCTTAAATATATTCCATTTATAATACTGATTCAATATCTCTGGAAAAATGTACGTTTTTGTAACAAATATTACACGTGTATTTTAATATACTATATTATTTTATTACAACACAATTATTCGTATATATTATAACCTGTACTTTTTTTATGGAACTTATGAAATTCTCGAGGTCACGAATTGTGTTATGCAGACGCTAATTTCTAATTTTTATTCAAATATAAAATTATATATAAGTAGTGCTAAAATAATCCTCATAAAAATAATAATTTTTGGGAAACTATTTACATCTTTATGAGAAAGGTATATCGTAAGCATAAAATGCAAAATATCTATGACGTAAAATGTTCAGTGGTAAGAAAATTTTTCCGCAAAATTTACCGCGACAAAGGCGTGTTGTGCACCTCTGTCGTTCACGAAGGAGACGATTGAACGCGCGCGAACGAGTCAACAGTGATCTCATCCCTTCCCCTCCATCGCTCGTCTTCTACCCGATGTCACGGCATGGTAAAGGATTCCTTCCCTCTTCCGGAGAGACTAAGCGGCTGAGTATCCGATAGGAAATGAAGATCAAAAAAGTCACTCTTCGAATTTCCGTCATCTTATCTAAAATCTTCTTTTACACATTTCCGATATTACTGAAACGCGTAGTTTTTGAAAGAATACAAGCCGTATATCCGATTATAACAACCGCGATTTTTAAACTCAGTGAACATTGAATGTTCGTTTATTATCGTAGGTGTCCCATCATGAATATTCTATTGTACATGATTAATCACTGTTGCGCGCTAGAATAATTGTATCATACATGCATTTTTCGTACCGATACAAGCTGCTGCTGGAAGGGAGAAAGAGAATCGACGAGGGTAAGCGGGCGATGGAGCAAGGACGACACGGGGTAACGAGCAAGCAGGAGCGATGAAAGTGGCGTGGTAGGGGACATACAGACTACCGGGGGAAATAACGATAGCACCGTCGAGCGAGCGGTAGCAACGCCAAGGGAGGACGTACGCGTTATCGACCGCTCGAGACGGAGACGGCGAACGCGCGTATATACAGGGTGTCCGTTTTTAATTTATTAGTGTAAATATTTCGATAAAGTATATCGTGTAAAAAGATCCTTATAGAGAATTAAAACACATCTATGGAGAAATCATGAGGTATGAGCAGAATAATGTTAGATAGATGTGTTAAAATCAAGTGAAGGTTAGTTGCATTTTTTTATATATAGAATTATATTTAT